GCTGTGGCGCAGCCACAGGAGGAAGAGGAGATTTGTGACCTTAACCAAGATCCTGCGTGCACGCACAGACATGCAGTGGCCCAAGGCTGCCATATAGCTGTAAGGATGTTCAAGTGACACATGTTCCTTAATATGCGAGCCCAAATTACCCAGTGCATCCCCCTGGCAAGACAAACTGTGCTGGGGCTGCATGAACCAGGGCATTATTGTGAGATGGTGCTGGAGACGGGACTGGAGACCAAAATGTCCCATCCTCTGGTATGGGGCATCCTTTAATTAACAAACATAAACAAAACCCCTCCTTTTATCCTACTGTTTCGAACTATGTGCTCTTTCCCCAAGAGCCAGGCAAATCCTTCAAACAGATCCCAGCTCCTTCCTCTGCCTGCAGATCTCTGGGATGCCTGTCAGTCTTCAAGAGATAAAAGGCTGCAGCCCAGGCAAGCTGCCCAAATTTGCTGATGGCATCTAATTGTGGCCCGCAGGCTGAGCAAGCAGCACTGATTTCGGTGTTGATTAGGCAATAATTTGAGTTTATTATTTTTTCTTGTTTGCTTTCTTCTCAAAATGACAGATGGCAGAAAAATGCTGTGGATGGTCTTGAAGTGACTGACGGCCACACAAAACCATTCTCCAACCTCATTTGAACCCCGTGCAGGCAGCAGGACAGAGACAGCGTTGTGAAGGAGAGAGAAACCCATCTGCCTGGCCCTTACCCTGCATGAGCAGAGCTTCATGTGACTGGGGTCACTTGGTGGGGACACCTAAAGCAACTGGATATTACTGTTGTCTGGAGGACGAGCACACCCTAAAGCGATGCTGCTCAGGGTATGTTTTTGAGTCTCCCATTAAACACGGTTTCTGCAGGGCAGTCTCAGCTGTATACACCAGGAAACAAAAGACTTCCATCTAGAAAGAAGCTGAAATCCCTAAACAATACTTGAGCTCTAATTGCTGGAAGTAGTGTTGACAGTTGCATGTTCTCCTGCCAACTACGTGGTAGGACCAGTATTCTGCCCTGCCCTAGAGCAGCTCTTTGACACCTTGAGAAATGCAGCAGAGGTACAGAAGAGCATTTTAAAATCCTGTGGTTTTAAACTTGCTGAAGTACTGTAGCCACCAGCAGTTATGCTTTGTGACTACTCTTCAGCAAAACTAACTGCAGAGCTTTTCTAATCCATGGTCTCACTGAAATGGCAGTGTCTCCAGAAAAGCAGCTTGCAAAGCCCTTGCACAGCCCCAGGAGGCAGCAGGTCTGTCACATCTCCTGTCCCCAGCCCCTCTCCCCATGTTTGAAAGCCCAGGACAAAGGCTAATGGCTTTTCTGCTGGCCTGATAGTCTCACCTTGCTGCACTGCCTGGTGTTGCCCCTCCTTATCAGCCCCCAGATCAGCACTTTGTCACTGCAGTCCCATCAGGGCTGGCATGCTCCACGGGCTGTTCATGCCAGGAGAGCCCATTAAAGGACTAGCTATTCTCCAGACTCCTTTGTAGGGCCAGGATAACACTGGAAAGGCTGACAGGGCTGTGCCAGCACAAGTGCCTGCAGCAATTCAGGCAGAGTACCTCTAGTGATGGGTCAGACCACCATTGCATCCACCCTACAAGGTGCCTAACTGCATGGTAGGACACGTGGGGCAGGTTTCAGCATACCCCAGTCCCAATATCCAGGTGCTTAAAAGTCCTATTGGAAACTCCAGGCCAGTGTGAGCCAGAGCAGTGTCTGCTGGAGGCAATACTTGCCTGCTCCATCACGGAATTTGGCACATCATGTCCAGCACCTGTAAGAGTTGGAAGCTTTCCCCCCAAAATCACTGAAATTATGTTGGGGGAACAGGTATGTTTGTCTTTCTGCTGAAGAGACTTGGGACTAGGTCTGGCAGTGGTCAGGTCTCAGTTGCCTTGGGTGAGGGTTGTACAGTGCTACTCCCAGCTGGGTCTCCCCTGCTTTCTCACTTTAATGAGCACTAAAAACATTTGAAAGATGTAGAGACAAAATCTAAATTACATTGAAATCCCTCCCTCTTGCCTGGAGGCCTTGGGACAGCTTTCCCCTGGAGAGGTGGGAATGGGGGCTCCTTGGCTCACTGTGAACCGTCCTGGCAGATCTTATCCCAGCCAATGCTGGACCAAGGCACTGTGCTGGCTCTGAGAGGTGACCTTAAAGCTGTGGACCCCAGGGGTCTGGAGGTGCCCAGGGAAAGGCAGAACTGGAAAGACCATCTCCACACTCTACAGTGCTGCAGATGCTGCCCTGTCAGTCCCTGCCTGCTTATCCTTGCCTTTCCCTCCTTTCTCCTGGCAGCTCCAAGGATTCACTGGAATGAGGAGAACCAGCTTAAAACAAGGCAATACCAGAATTTGTCCAGCGGAGGGACACGAGACTGGGCTAGTCCACATGCAGTGGGCAGCTATCCTTACCCCTGGCTGGATTTGCCCTGGCTTGCCTAGCTTGTGGGTGAGCAGAAGAGAGAAGCAGACCAAGTTCTCTTCCATTAAGACACAGAAATAAAGAAGTTGCCTCCCTAGGAGGCACCAGTGACCTCCCATGTCGTGCTACACCCGGGCCAAAGCCACATCCAAGAACTTCAATGCCCAGGAAGCACAGACAACTTTCCCAGCTGCCCCCTCCACCTCTGTAGCTCCCCTCCTGCTCAGACAGCTGCCTGAAGATCCACCAAGGAGCCCTTTGCTCAGCTTGAGGTGCTCCCCAGAATTAGCAGGCAAAGCAGCAGCAGGCACTGCCAGTAGCCTTTGGGCACATGGGGTGGAGGGCACTGGAGAATGAGATATGGGAAGGCTCAGAAGCCTTCATGCAGAGAGTCTGGGCATTGTCCAGCATCAAAGGTGACTCACTGCTTGTCAAGGTAGGTCCTTGAGGAGTGCCCTGAAAGCAAAGCATCTGAGTCAATACAAAACAAATCTTTTTTTTTTTTTTTTTTTTTTTTTGGCAGGCATAGCAGAAAGGCAAACAAACTTTCCACCGGGGTGGGACAGAGTGGTGGTATGGTGGGAGATCAAACAGTTCACTTAGCTCTGGGTTTTCTCAGCCCTTTTTTCAGCCCTCACCATGAAGTATCCCTTGGAGAGAAATGATGGAAGCAGGACAAAATAAAACAAGACTTTTTTTAAGTTAAAAAACCCTATCTGGATCAAAGTGTCAACCAAATGTGAGCCCAGTTTACAAACAATTTTTCCTGTGCCCTCTCCCTCCTCCCAAGATACCACGTTTATCAGCAAGTAAATGATTGTCCAGAAAGAACCCAGGGACTGTTTGAGAGAGGCCAGCGTCCTTGGGCAGCAGGCAGAGAGGGCGAATGTTTCTGTGAGCACTTCAAGCACGAGACAATGCAAGGTGTGAGTGACTCTGGCTGCCACACTGGGAAACATGGTCACCAGGGTTCAGCCAACACCTCTGACGGCTTTCCCAAGAGCTGGATGGTCTTCAAGAGCAAATACACTGGAGTGGGCAGGAAAGGAGCAGGAGCCTGAGTAGCTGGTAGAGTTCCTGTGTTGGAAGGCTTTGCTGGGAAACTCCCCTTTGCCCTGAGTTTGTTTCTGGTCCCAGGTGGACTGTGATAAGGCAGGTTTTGGTCACACTCTGCTAAATGCCCTCAGTGGGCTGCTGGGACAGACACCAGCAGCTGGGCAATGGCAGTGAGGGCACGGTGGGGTTGGCTCTTCTGCAGGGCTCAAACAGGACAATGATGTATCGACAAGCAACGAGAGGTGTCTCATGGGTTAAGAGCAACCCCGAGCCAGGAGGAGAGACCCATGGCTCCCCAGGGAGCCTCCAACCCCAAGACTGCAGCCTGCCCTCCACACTACCAGCCAGGGAGACCTGTTGTCCTTCCCTTGCTCTTGGTGGCAGATTACTCCTGGGCACCCGAGTGGATCAGCTCCTCGTTCCAGCTCGTTAAACCCACTCGTGCTCATAGTCACCAGCAAAGCCGAACAGGCCGTTTATAGCCTGCTTGTCTTTGTTGCTTTATAAATACAACTGGCTGCTGGGAACACTGGTTTAGGCTGGGACATTCAAGCTCTGGAGAGAAGGGTGGGGCAGCTCTGGTCTGCAGGGGCCCCTGCCTTGCACGATCACACCTGGACCGCCAGAACCTGTGGGGCAAGATGTGATCCCTGCAGGGAGGTGATGCTCTGAGGCAACATGACAACTTCAGGGTCTTCATCCTCCACCTCCTCTCACGTCAGCCTTTGTCCAGGTGCCATGACCCTACAACTTTCCGTAGAACCATCACGGTTGGAAGAGACCTTTAAGATCATCCAGTCCAACCATCAACCCAGCACCATCGCTGTGAGTAGAAAAATCACATCACTTAGCGCCAGACCCAGGTGCCTCTTGAACACTTCCAGGGGCTGTGACTCCATCATTTATTCCAATGCCTGACCATTGCAAAAATGACATTTTTTTTTCCCTAATATCTAATCTGAATTTAAACCCGAACTTCACCCATACGGGCCCTGGGCTGTCCCTGCCGTTGTTGCGGGGGTGCTCAGCGGGGAGGTGCCGTATGGGGCAGCCGGCAGGGCTCCGCCCGTCCCAGTCCGCGGGCGGCTGGTCGATGCTGGGGAGGTGCTGAGTGCGGGCAGGCACGGACCTCTAGCGGTGAGCGGGGCCTGCGGGGGTGCGGGACGGGCAGGGCTCAGCCCCGGTGCCGTGCGGGGCCCGCCGACCGCCTCCATGACGTCAAGACCTTGACCCGTGACGTCACGACAGCACACCCCCCTGACGTCACCGTCACGCACAGCCCCGCCGCCTTTAAATTTTAAACCCGCGGCGGCCAATGGTGCTCGCCCCGAGCGCCGGCCCCGCCCATCCCGACTCGTCACGGGTCCTTCCGCCAATGGGAGAGCGAGGAGCGGGGCTGTGGGCGGGGCGGGGCGCTCGGCGGCAGCCAATGGGGGCGCGCGCGGGCCAAGGGCGCGAGCGGCCGTGCTGGGCCGGGCGGTCGGCGGCGGCGGCGGCGTGAGGGGTGCCCGCCATGTCGAGCTCCCGCAGCGCCGTGTTCCTGCTGGACACCGCCGGCCCTGCGCGCCTGGAGCCGCTCCAGCGCGGCGCCCTCCGCCTCCTCACGCTGCTGAGCTGCCGCCTCGGCCTCCCCCGCCTCCGCTGGGCCTTCCGCTTCTTCGACTCGCTCGGCGGCCGCGGCGGCGCCTCGCGGGGCGGCGGGTTCCGCCCGCCTGGTCCCCTCTCCTGGGAGCGGTTCGAGGAGGAGCTGGCGGAGCGGCTCCGGGCGCGGGGGTCCTCGGCCGCCCTGCCCGGCCCCGCGCCCCGCGCTGCCCTCACCCATAGCGGCCTCAAGGAGACGCTGCTCGACTTCCAGTGGGACCGCCCGGAGATCGCGTCCCCGGCCAAGCCGCCCCGCAGGAGCCGCAGGACGGGGCTGGCCGGCCCGGAGCCCCCCGAGGCGTCCCCCGAGGGCTTCGTGAACGCCGTGTTCCTGTTCTCGCCCTGCCCGCACTCGCGGAGGGAGCTCCGGCGGTTCGTGTCGGGGAGCGATGCCCCCTCCCCTGGAGAGCCGCCCACGGTGCAGGAGCTGGCGGAGAAACTCCTGCCCAGGAGTGTCCAGGAGCTGCTGGCGGAGCAGAAGATCACGCTGTTCTGGGTGGACACCGCCGAGCGGGCTCAGGTAACGAGGTTATACTGCACAGCTCTCAGCTCTGAGCACTGGCGGGCCGCCTGCCACGCTATCCTCCTGTATAACAAGGGGGGAAGAGTTTTGTGCTCTAGTTTTTAGGTGGTAGTGAAAGCTTCTCAGTTACTGCCACATAGTCTTTAGCAAGGGACTGGAAACAGAATCATCCACGTGGAGGCTGAGATACATCTACAGCTGAGTAGCTGTACAGTGTTTATTGAGGGGTCCTCTTGTGCTTTGAGTTAGAGGGGAGCTATAGCTATTAAGAATTGTGGATAAGCAATCTCATGGTTCAGGTGTGTGGATACCAGATTCAAAAACCTAAGCTTGAAAATTTTGGCTAGCTCTTAATTCAATGGGAAGTGTATTTTCTTTATCGGGTTCCTGTGAAGGCTGATAATGCCCATAAAAACACTTTGAAAACACTGTGTTTAGATGCTTTGTATCTGTTTCCTGTGCCAGTTTTGCTAAAAGCATTCAATCTTTCTTTGTTTGGATGGAGGTTCTCTCACTGCCGACATTAACTTGAGACCTCTCTGTTACTTTATTCCAGCTGATCGAAGCCCCGGATCATGTTGGATACTGGACAATGTTTGAACTGATCCGTCAGACGGGAGGCACCATTTTGCCAACTGAAGCCTTAGTGCACTGTTTGAGTCATCCTAGGGCAGATGTTGCTCAGTCCTTTCTTGGAGACTCCGGTTTCCCAGTGCCTTGGACCACACTCCTGCCCCTGGACGCAGTTCTGAACTACTTGTTCTCGAAGCCCTCTCTGTATCGATCGGTGTTTCCCCAGCAAGAAGGAACGTTGTTTCTCAGCATGCCTGGTAATAAAAGAAAAGAAAAATATAGGTGTGCATGCTGGTAACTGAGCTTTCATGCAGGGTCCTTGATGACTTTCCCTTATGAATAGTATGTGTAGAAATAACTCCAGTATTTAAAAGCCCATTTAAAAAAAAAAAAAGTTCAGGATGTGCTCTAGTTCCTCTGAGAGCTGTTAGCCCATATTTCTGATTTAGCCTCTTCAGTTTTCCATGCTTCTAGACTTTTGGATGAAGAGCTCTTTGCTGGTCCCACCTCATAGCAGTGTACTCCCTTTTCTTAAGAATACAATTATTCAGTTTATCTAAAATAAGGATACTGATAAAAAACCCCTTCAGAAGAAAACAAGTTAGCTTTAAAGCAGTATTCAGCGTGAATGGGCTCTTTCTTCAGTGGTCCCTTCATGCACTGAGCTCCTCCAGAGGTTGGGGAGGAGGTCAGTTCTGTAATGATATGGTTGAGTATATTCCCCTTTTAATCTTGGAAATCATCCTTTTTGCACTGAAGTTGTATCTTCACCTGGATAGGAAAACCCATTTTACTTGCCTTCAGACTTTTACTTTATCCTATCCTTGTACAGGAGGAAAGAAACAGGAAAGCTGTGCTGTGATCCTGGAACCTCTTGCCATGGGCCAAAGACAACTGCATTGTCCAGTCAACATCTTCCTGAAAGGAAACTTGATGGGTTGGAACTTGGTACAGGCTGGCCACTTTCTCACAGAGAGCTGGATACTGCACAGCTCTCAGGCTGAGCAGGCAGGATGTAACAGGTCACTGTTTCATCAGCTGTTAAGGACTCTGGTGATTGAAGGACTGCAGATGGTAAATATTCCTCTTTGTCTCACACTAATACCTATTCTGAAATGAGCTGTGACAAGAGAGGTGACAGTATTGTGTTGAGAAGACAATGATGGTGGTAATTGCTGCATTGCAAAGTGCTCATTTGAATCTAAATTCAGAACATTCTTTAGGTCATGCAAGTCTATAACCTGTTGGAAAGTATTTGTGCTCCTTAGGTCTCCATATTTATAGATGAAGTAACCATTTTTCTTTTCCTTTTTTTTCTTTTTAAATGTAGGTTGCTGAGGTATCTCTGTCTAAAACTTGGTGCCCCTGCACTGCTGTTCTGTCACCGCTTTCTGAGGGTGCTGCAGTTCTGACTGTGCTTGGTGCTGAGAAGGCTGCTGAAGTTCAGCGATGCAGCCTGGAAGGAGCCGTAGTGGAGGACTCTTCCCAGGACTCTGCTCTTCATCTCCCAGAGATTGTGAATAGTGTGTTGAGTAAAATTGACATGTCGGTGGAAGATCCTCTGGCCAGTCTGGGTAGGTGTCAGGAAATGCAAAACTTGCCCTCTTTTGATCTCGAGATCTGATTTAAAGTGGAAAAATCTAAAGCTAAAGTGGGACCTTTTGCCACTTAATTTAGTTTTTCTAAATTTGTGTGTGTGTGTGCTCACAGGAGAAGAAACTCCAGTGCCAGAGTGGGTCCAACGGGAACTGTCCCATACAGGGGGCTGGCATCCTTCAGTGCTGGAAACATGGTATCCTGCATCAAATGCCTGCGGAGCAAGCTCAGATCTGATGGAGTCATTCAGGTATTTTTCTGAAACGTATCTCCCATGAGTAATAATCAAGGATTTCCACTTCCTGTCAAAGGAGCATGGCTGTAGCATTGCTTAGAGTTCTAGAATTAAGTGCTTTTCTAGTGCTTTTGATTCTATACTCAGTTTTCAGTGGGCTTTTGCTTAATTATCTGTTGGTGTTTAGACAAAAAGACCTGGGAACAGGATGTTTGGGTAGCAGTTTGTGTGGATTAAAATCTTGACTGTCTCAGGAGTGATACAGGTCACTTAGAATTACGTTAATCTACTTGGGAAATGTCAGACTTCAGCTTTTCTTATGGTATGATAAGATCCACTGCAAGATACTGAAGACAGTGGTTGTGTTCTCAGTTGGTATTTACTTGTAATGAATGAGCTTGCTTTCTTCAAAGAGCTTGCTGAGTGAAACAAAAAAAAAAAAGCCTAATGCAAGGTAGTTAGGAAGCACAAAGCTACTTATGTGGTTTTTGGGTACAGGGCAGTGGTGTATCCATTGTACATCAATGTAATGCTTGTTTCCAACTTGGTGTGACCCTTTTAAAGGTGGTTTGGGTTTTCTGTATCTCTTAAGTGTGTTGGGGAACAGGTGATTGCTGTGGACTGGAATCTAGGAAAGCCTTGTTTTTTTCCACGTGGATATGCCTCCCATTCCCATCTTTTTTTGACAACTGTATTGGTTTGCTGTTTCATACAGGCTTCTGCAGGTCCCTTGTGCTAATGGGAAGGATGATGCAGACCAGTCTGATGTGGAGCTCTCAGAAAGTCTGTCTGAGCTGTACCAGAGAAAATTCAGTGAAACAGCTGCTACAGCTGGACCAGGAAATAACAAAAAAAGGCGTATGTATACTTTGGGATTATGTGTGCCTGTTGTCAATAAAAGATGATGAATGAACCCCAGAGATCTGTACTCTGCTGGGTAGTGGTATGCATTAGATTTTTTTTATTTAGGGACAGTCTCATTTGCATATTAGTGTTGGGTTTGTCCTGTAGTAGAAGCAAAATTACCGTAATTCAAGGCTGTGCAGTGACTGACAAAACTGTTAAAAGCAGCATGCAGAGCTCTGCAGTTTGAAACAAGGACTGTTCCAACTACTAGTAAATATTACAACCTCTCAACTTTGTTCTTAATAAGGAAGAAAACCACTTTCTTCTAGAAGAATTTAATAATTGCATTTCCCTACACTAACCGCAATTGATTTTACCCTGACCTGATGTACCCCCAAGTCCTGCTCTGTCAGTTGTTTCTATTTCTGTGATATAAGATTGCTTAGTGTATATATATAACTTTTTATTATACCTATATAAGTTCTTGTGCAAAGCCATAGTTTTCATCTGCATTTTACTTGGAGAAATAGCTGCCTGCTGCACTGCCTGTACATTGATTTCATGGAGAAATGCCAACCTTTGGACCATGTTTTCTTCCAGAATGTTACTAATCTCACTTGACAGTAACACCGAATTCAGTGTTGTGCTCTGCCTCAGGCAGAGTTCCTGCCCCAGTGTCCCTGATGGTAAAACTCCTTTTTGATGGCATTGCAGGTGGGGTTCCCCGAACTCCAGTCAGGCAGAAGATGAAGACCATGTCCAGATCCCTGCAGATGCTCAATGTAGCAAGACTGAATGTAAAAGCTCAGAAGTTTCAACCTGATGCTGTGCCACCAGCAGTGAATGAGAAGGTTCCACAGAAGCTTTCAGCAAAAAGATTGGATGCAAAGGTGGAGGGAAAGGAAAAGGCACTTAAAATACAAATTGGTGTGTGTTAAGTCCTGTTATCTTCCTATCCTGATATATCCCTGCCTTGTATCCATCTGAAAAAAGCAATAAGGATTTATTTTTTTAACCAAAAGAGGTAGAGGGAAGCACCCATCAAGGTGTAACTGGAAATGTAGTCCTATTTACTAATTAGGTAGAAATAAAGGGCATTTCTTGACTGCTATAGTAGCCTGAAAGGTTGCTGACATTAAGCAAACTTTTGATTGTTGATTATAAACTTGATTTACCTTATAATAATGTCATGGGTCTGGACCTGGGAATGGTTCTGTTAGTGTTGTATGGGCTGGATGCATCTTTGCTGGAGAAAATATATTTTTGACCTCCTCTGTTCCCCCCCCTCAGCTGGGATGAGTATTTTATCAGTGAGTTGTGGTTAACACAGACCATTTCCCTTGCAGACTTCCAAACAGAGGAGGAGTTGCAGTCCCACTTGAGAGAGAGCTACCAGAAGGCTGTTGCTGAGGGAATTCAGTTATCTGTGTGTGCCCAGAATATGATCGTGGCCATTAAAAGGTTCTTGAAAGTACAAGATGCCAAAGAGAAAGAGGTAGGTAAGAGCATGTGGGCAGGGTTGTTACTGATCCAGAAGTTGGAGTTTTTACTATTTCCAGCTACCTTTCCTTCATCTCTGAAGTTTTGTGTGCAGTTGCACATAATCAAAACCACAACCACTCACTGCTTCTGTTGACTCAATAGTGACAAACTGGGTAGTTGTCAAGAATGTAGGAAAATCCAGTTCAGTTGCCCATTTACACCTTTGCTAAAGGTTGTAATAGATGTTTTTCCTTTACATTGACCTCCTTCCAAATTCTAATTTCAAAGACAGTCTTTTTAAAAATACATTCTTGAAAAATATATTTTAAAGAAGGTATTTACAGTCTTAAACACTATGCATAGACTTAAAAGAACCTGAAACCAAAATTGGTAAACTTTTGAATGATTTAAGAAAAATACGTGAGAAACAAATCTGTAGTAACTGAGGAAGGCCTGAAGCTGCAAGTGACCTCTGTAATTTCAAGCTCAAAGTTTTTTTATTTCTCATTGTCTTTGCTAATGAAAGAAAAGATAATTCCTTTCCTTGAAAGAAAATAAAAAAAAAATGAGCTATTTCCAAAAGAACGGGTTGGGGGGATGACCAGAGTTGTGGGGGGGGGAACCTGCCCTATAGACAGGGAACAGAATTGAAGGTTTTATTTTAATTATGTGTGTTTTCAGGTGGCCTGTGTGGAAAGAGTCAGAAACCATCTCCTGAAGACCAGCAAAATGCTCAGACAACAGCATGGCTCACAGAAGGAGACCAAAGTCAGAGAGTATGAGACACTGTATTTACTTCAGTTTCTGAGATTCTGTGGAGTTGGTTAGCAATTCTTAATGGTGGCTTTTTTGTACAAATGGAAAAGTATTGACATGGGGCAAATATTTCAAGGAGAATCTCTGGTCACAGTAAAACCATTTCATTAAATGCAAATATGCCCATGCTTTGTGATAAGCAGTGCAGCCTATATCTGAAATGAGGCATCTCCCCTGCCACCAAAATGAAATGCTAACTAGATTATGCTGTCAAAAGGAGCTACTTCCCTTCCCATTGCTTTTTTTGAGCACACCTTTTGCAGTAAATATGCTGCTTCCATTAGAAAAAAGGTAGTGGATAATTACTTGTTTTCTTAGGTGCCGACTTCAGGTATTTTTGCGCCTTGAGTTGTGCCTTCAGTGCCCTTCGCTGCAAAGCAACGGTGACGAAATGGAGCAGCTGCTGGAAGAGGCAAGTAAATTATAGACCAAGTTGTGCTTCTGGGTGGCACTAGAAATGCAGACCTGGAACCTGCAGTTTTCCTTTGATATTACTCTAATGCTCCATTCCTTGCTAAAATATCTGATGCTGCAGCTGTTGCAACTTAATCCATTTTCCCACCTGACTTTCTCTTCCAGATGACAGATATGCTGCGCATTTTATGTCTGACTGAAGACCCGGGGTATCTTACAAAATTTCTAGAGGAAATACTGGAATTGTAAGTTCTTTAGCATGAGTGAAATGTTACTGGGGAATGTGGTTTTGGTTGGATGTTGTCTGTGAGTAGGCAGCAATCTACAGCTTTGATTTACTGCGTCTTTGTAATTTGCAGAAATTTAGACTTGTTGTTTGTTTATATTTTGATTAAAGAAGAAGCAGCTGATAAGTAAGTAAACTAATTTAAAAAAACAGTTGATATTTGGTTGCTTTTTTAATTAATGTATAAGAACAAGGATTTAGTTCAAACCTTAGGAGTGAAACACCAACAAGTTTCAGTGGGAATATATTCGATGTGGGTTCTCTCTGATGCTCCAGGTACATGAATTCTATACCAAAGACTCTTGGAGATATTTACTACGGTCTCGGTACACAAATACCCCCAAAGCTGGCAGCTGTTCTGCCTTCAGACTTCTTCAGTGATGACTCCATGACTCTGGACAGCAAATCTCCAGGCCTTCCACCGTCTTTATCGTCTGTCTTGACTCCCAGCACTGTTCGCACAGAGAGTGACCAGCTGGAGGAGCTGCGCACCAGATCTGCCCAAAAGAGAAGGTAATAATTCCAAACAGGAGGCAGCTTTTTGTTGCAGCCTGGGCTGTGACCAAGGAGTTATCTAAGCTGCAGATTTCTGTTGCTGAATAGCTGGTTGGGGCAAGCAAACACCTGCCCATATCTCTGCAAGCCTGGAAGAAATATTAGGGGCTCTAATTTTTCATTTTAACTTGCCATTGTTGACTGTATGAAAATATAATCTTGATTGTGTATTTGCATCTTATGCAAAAGTGAAGTTCATGAGCATCTTAAGGGATATTTTGCTCTGCAGTAGGTGACCCTATATTGTTAAAGTTAAAACTTGATTTACTGTAGATCTCTATGTTGGGAATTCTGTGTATGTTTTAGCAAATTGTGAATGAGCTTCAATACCAACCTTTAATTTAGGAATAGCTATTTATATTGCGAATCATCTCTCACTGTTGTTGTAAGTGAGGTACTAAAGCAGTTTGCAATCTGAATTCAGGTAAACACTTCCTGTCTCTAGAGTCAAACCTAACTTTAATTGTCAGTAGGTTGATAACTGTACTTCTGGTCTTATGCTAACCTAATCTTTGTATACTTTCTAAAGGAATCACGTGTTAGCCAGACACAGGAGCATGACAGAAGCACCACAGAACTTGCGTCAAATTGAAATTCCCAAGATGGCCAAGAATCCCATCAGAAAGGTAAAACTCTTCCAAAAGGGTTGTGTGTGAGTTGTGACACTGGAGTGCAAAACACTCTTGCTCTGTGTTCCCCTAGTGAGCGTGCCCTGTGTCAGCTGTACAGAGATCAAATTGCCTTGAAGGAGAAATTGAAGTGTGTGGTTCAGAGCTTACAGTTAATATTCGTAATTAAACATAACACTGTGCTGCTGGTGAGGCTGATTTCTTGTTTGTTTCAGGAGAACTCCCGTTCTTACCTTGCTCCTGAGAAGTCCCAACAGATGCCTTCGTTGCAGAAAGAAGCAGTGCAAGGTATATTGACTTTCAGCTTTTTCATGGAAAGGTGCATCTTCAGCACATGTTCTCCCTGTAAAATTTAGTGAGCCACAATGAAATTATGCTGAGGCACGTTGGAAATCAGTAGGAAGTTTTGCTGAATTCTGCAAAAACTTTGAGGGAAAGATACGCGGTATTCTGTGTGTTCATATGCAGAAAACTTAAATCCTGCATCCTCAAAAAAACCCCTTTCCGTTCTTCCTTGAATCTTGAAATTGTGTCCATCTTCTCTGTCCTGAAAAGAAAATGGGGACAAGATTGGATTCCAGTATCTGGAAACAGGATGTCACTCCACAAAATAATTAAATTAAAAATAAATCCCAATTGTATCCTCTGGACCACTGAGTTTCAGTTGAGATTTTATAGTGCACCTAATGCTGCTCCACATGGGACACTGACTGGCTGCTTTTTCTCCTATGGCACCTGCTTGTAGCTTATTGTTGGGATAATGCAAATAATACAATATTATAAGAGAATCTGGAATGGATTTAGTGGAGGGCATGTTCCAGTAGCGGAAAAAACAACTTTTCAATGCTTTGTGGCCTCTAAAAAGTTGTATTTCTGTGCTGATGTATTTTTCCCATTTCTAGTGTCCTGAAAAATTACCTTCCTGTGAGTTGTTGTTTTTTTCCTTTTTTTTTTTCTCCTAATTTTAATCTGATCTTTTCTTGCTTTTCTTGCTTCACAGAGGTTACAAAGGTAAGGAGGAACCTCTTCAATGAAGAGATACTTTCACCATCAAAAAGGTCTCTGAAAAAGATGCTTAGAAGCCAGTCAGTATCTGCTGTGGAAGGCTTAAAATACAAATGCACTGATGAAGGCACCAAAGGTAGGACATGACTTGCACGTGTAGGATTGTTGTGGAAGAGCTTTTGCTAAAATTCCTATTTTTACATTCTCAGTTCTGTGAAACAATTGTAATTTGTTTTTTTAGTAAAGAGTAAAGGTGGCCGTTGCTGTGGTGTTTGGAGGGTGAATATTGATGTCATTGAAACCGAAACCTATTTTTTACTGAACTCTATGTCTCAAAGAAATCTAATGTTAAAAATTTTTGGTTAAAAAAGGATCTGTGGAAGAAAAATGAAGAAATCTCAGTAGATTAACTCTGTCTGACATGGTACTAATAATAATACTGAGTGGGAAGGAGGTGTGGACACTGGACTCTGAAATCATGATAGCTAGGAGACTGGTGCACAGTGAGTCTATATGGACTGTCCTTAAGCTGAAGCCTGTACAAAACTGTATTTATTTACTTGTCCCAAGTGCTTTGTAATTGTGTGATGTTATAGCTCTTGCATGATTTTTAGGTCATCACAAGTTGTTGACCAAGAGAGTTGCAGAAACACCACTACATAAGCAGGTCTCCAGGAGACTCCTACATAAACAGATCAAAGGCCGGTGAGTTAAGTTCTTTCTGATTTTTTTCAGTAAGTATTGGATATCTAATTAATGGTTATGAGCACAAGTACCAGGTATCTTTGTGGTCAAAGTGTCATCTTTACTTCAGGCAGTAAGAGAACCAGTGGGGGCTGAGTTCCATTGCTTAAGTGGGGGGGGGACTATTGCTGCTTTCATCATGTAAGTCAGGCTGCTTTAATTACTGCAGCTAATGTCTCTTTAGGTTCAATTGCTGATTCAAAGGCTTCTGAAAAGGCTTGTGCAGTATTTTGTGGACTCCGTGTTGAACTCCATGTTGAACATTTACTTGCACGTAGAACTGCTGCTTGTACAGCTAGGGAGTAACCAATGCTAAGTCATGTGTTAATAGGAGGCAAAGTGCTCACTAATTGCTCACTTAGCATAGCCCACAAAGCAACATATTGGTGTAGGATGGAGTACTGCTTTTAGTCCTGGGGTGAGTTTTGTTCCTGTCAGTGTGCTCAGTATGCTAAGACCAAAATGTCATTGTTTCTCAAGGTCTTCTGATCCAGGTTGTGACACTGGTGTTGTAGAAGAATCTCCAGAGAAGGCTATATATGGTAAGCAGTGACTTTTTCATGAAAGGTGGTTTGGCTGTGTTGTAGCTTGTAAGATAAGCGTGTTTCAATTTACGTAATTCATGAGTAGTCAGTACAAAAGTGTTGTACTGTTCTGTTGGTGGAGCACAGCTGCCTCTGATAGAACCACTTGCTGCTGACTGCTTTAACAGCCCTGCATAGTAGAAGTTAAGAAAGAGAGGTAGATATTAACTCTTTTAAATGAAAATGCATGAAGGACTTTGAGGGTGAACAAGATTCTGAGCTGCTGTAATTACTGTCAAACCAGCACATGCTTTTCTTTTAATGTAACTTCACCATGTTGTGCTGTGACCTTAATACTGCTCTGATTCCTGCTGTAACAGACAGCCACCTGGCTCTACGGAGTGTCTCTTATGTTGGCTACTGCTGGTCCTTATCCCAGGAAGGAAGAGGAAAACAGTATGGCTGAGCAAGCAGGAAGATGAAATCACGAGCAAAAAGAGACAAGAGAATTAACTAATCTTTTAACCTGGATGTAACTTGCATTGAACATGACTTTTCTAGCATTCCTTTTCATATAATTGCTAGAGAAAAATGAGAGTAATCATGACTTAGAGGAGGGGGCATCATAGTTTGAAGGAGATTTGTATGCATAAAAATTCCAAATCCTCAAGAAAGTTGAAGCCTTCTTCTCCACACACTTGCCTCCCTGTGTGAGACAGTTTGTTGTAGGGAATTTCCTTCTTGGAGTGTGTCTGTTTCAGTTACAAACTGTTCCTGATGACGTGCCCGTTGCTGGGGGAGAAGGAAGGCTCAGTGTCCGATGTTCTTACCTTTTCAGAAGCAAGTTTGAGAAGAAGCCCACGCATCAAACAGCTGTCTATGAAGAGGACCTGCTCCAGTGCCTTCTATTCCACTACAGAGCCGAGCTCAAAGAATTCACAGCGCATCCACCAGGGACAAGAAAAGGAGAGCTGTGCACTGCAGGATGTAGAAGGTACTGACTGGGATTTGAGCAGACTGATAATGCTGATCTGAAAAGCTGGCATGGATAGCTCTGAGTTTGATTTGATTTGGCTCTACAAGAGACTGTAAGAAGCTAAGAGCTGTCATGTAATATCTTCTGTAGACAGAAATTCATCCCCAGTAATTATTTTTAATTGGTAATCTGAATTTGGAGGATGGTAAGGCAGCTATTTCCATGATGAATTCACTGCCAACTTAAGAAACCAGTCAGACCCATCTAACAGAATACCACTGATTGTCAGTCTGTATTCCTTGAATGCAGTGAAATCCTTGTAAAATATGGGACAGAAATCCTAAAGCTTACTTTCAGTCTACACTGTGGCAGCATAAAGCAGTGACTGATGGGATCTTCTTTGCTGGCTTTCTCAGTAGGATTATCAGCTAAAAATGGTGATGCTTAGTTCTTTATATTATACTTACTAGAATCCTTAGTCATGAACCAGAACTATCTAAAGCTACAGGCTATAAATAGAATAAGAGGCTGAGCTATTTTGTACTTTTTTTTTTTGCCATTCAAGTGCTCTTTCTACCGATGGATATTAATTTCATATTGGGAAATAACCATATTTCTGATGAAGCTTTAACATTTGGCTAGAAAAGAAAATGCCAGGGATATGATCTTTTTACACTACTTTTTCCTACATCTGAAATGATTCAGACAATTGTGGCACATTAGTTGGTGTTAGTTGAATTGTACTGTTCCATTTTACAGGCCTCAAGCAGCATTCAGAGACCCGCCCCGTACAGACTCCCAAGAGGTTTTTCTTTGGTGCAGTCACTGACAAGTGTAGTCCTGCAGTGAAGCATTCACCTGGAAAGAGGAGAACGAGAAAAGACTCCTTGCACTTAGAGGAACTGACCTCCTGTCAGGTAGAAAAAATTACCTCCCTACCTCTTTCTTCCCCTCCTGTTTTTCTATTCATGTTTAATCAGACCTTTGCATCTTTAAATTTAGTGTTTGTTAAGTCTAATCAAATAGGGGGGTGTGTTCTAAATTTTAGGAAGTAAATAAGGAGATGGGTGGATGATACTGTTGGAATAGAACAAGCATGATTCTTTATTTTTTTCCCCTGCAGACTCCTAGAAAAATACCTCATAAATTTGCCCGCAAGCTGCTGAATTCTGCCAGTAAGCCACCGAGGAGATCGCCTCGCCTTGCCCACAAGACACCACAGAAGCTGGAGAAGACTCCTGGCAAAAGTCCAGCAGCTAAGCAGACTGTAGCTAAGTGTTTGGGAAAGTACTTTTCTTCTCCTGCACAAAGGGTCAAGTCACCATCTGCGTTAACTGAAAGTAACAGGGTTCACTTACTGCAAGTAACTTCTGAGGACTGTTCTGCAGCACACAGACTTTCCCCTCCTTGCAAAGAGTCTGTCCCACAAACACCAGAACACGAAGGGTTCACACCACTCAATGCCTCATTATTACCTCCAATAGATTCAAATCCAACTACTTCTTCCCCCTCTGCCATCCGGGAAAGGTGTTCTACAGAACTGCAAACTCCAAGACGTTCCTTGAGATACCTCTCAAAATTAGCATCTCCAGTTGGTGCTGGGAGGCAAATCCTCGCAAAGGAAATTCAGGGGCAAATCCTCGCAAAGGAAATTCAGTCTGATCCATTAGCTGAAGCCACTAAAAGGACTCCCAAGAAACATGAAGATCCCGGTTCAAAGTTGTTTACCAGCCCACTGAGTACAGAAATACCTCAGCTTGTTGTGAGGCTTGAGCCTCTCAGCAGTTCTCTGCTCTGTGCAAGCTCCATGAACGCTGTGACCATCTGCTCTGCTTCCCGTGCTCAGCCTGGGGAGTCTGACGGGGAACTTAGTGCATCTAAACCATCTTCTCAAAAGTCTCCAGCTATTACTGGCACTTCACTGAGGTCCCTGCTTCACACATCCAAGCAGGCTAATTGTGAACCAGATTCTGGAGAAGAGAACCTCATGCTTGTATGTGCAGCACCTTCTGAAAATAGGGACAGTCATCATGATAATGGTAACTGTTCTGTAGAAAGCCTTCAGCCTCATCAGTCTGAAGTTACTGAAAATATCCCTGTATTGCAGAAAAATAAACAGATGGATGTAGCATCTCAAAAGTCTTCTTCAAGAGAGGACTTGGAAAATTTGGAAAAGCCTTTGTCTCCAAAGCCTTTTGCTGGAGAGCAAGTGCATGCACAGGATGCTGAGACAGACTCTGAGCCATTGATTAAGGAGGGGATCTCCAGTGCAAACACCTGTGAGTCCTTGCTAAGTGATTTGCAAACAGCTGGTGATGACTCGGAACCAAGAACTCTGAGGGAAGAACTTACGGGGCTGAAGGCTCCAAGTCTTAAGAGACGCTCCAGATCTGCCCTGAATGTGTCACCTCCTATGCCAAGGTCTGCTACAGCCTATTCCTTGCGCTGCACTGCAGACAGGAGGCAGCGGGAGGCTGCAGCACGGATGGGAGAACCTCAACTTGTAGCCAAGTTCTCCACTCCTAAAAACTGTAACAAACTGCCTTCTGCCAGCCCACCGACTTATGAAGTTGAAATTGAAATGCAAGCTTCAGGCCTGCCCAAACTTCGCATTAAGAAAATTGGCTCTTGCTCATCACTGGAAGTTCAACCTGAAGCAAGTGCCAACAAACCCAAGGGAGGAGAAAGCCCCTTTAGTGATCTTGCTATGACCTTGTGTAGCAAGCACCCAGGAAAACTGGCAGCTGCCTGCGTTTCACCTTCCTGCTGTCGTTCTTTCCACAGTACACCTGGGAAAGGTGCGGGCCAGACCTACATATGCCAGTCATACACCCCAACAAGCTGTGCCTCTAACGTCACTTCCCCCTTCCCCATGGAAGCAGGAGTTCTCCAGACGCCTTCTCCAAAGCAGAAGGGAAAGACTACCCCAGATGCCATCAAGGACTGGCCTCGGAGAAAGAGAGCAGCAGGCAGCACTGCCAGCACGAGCTGTGGTCAGAGCGAGAGGAACGCTGACGAACGGACATGGATGTCAGCAGGCAGAGAAAGAGTGATGAGGATCTCGGAGAACTTCAGCAGCAAAGTAACAAATACTCCGGGGGAATTTGAACTGGAAGGGATTTGCAGGCTCCAGGATCAGCCATCTCCTAGTGACTCTGAACCCAAGGCTGATGAGGACTCTGCCATGGGAACTTCTGGCTTGAAGCCTCAGAAGCGGGTCTTTACTTACCTATCACCAGAAAAGGAGGAGAATCATGATGCCAAGAGATCGTGCACTGATAGGTGCAGCTTGGATCTCATTGGCTTTTCCACAGATGAGGGAAACAGAAGCAAATCAAGGACAGACTCTGTACTTCCTGAGAAACCAGGAATGTGTGCTCTCAAAACACTTGAGCAGCACAGTAGTCTAGGGGATGACGATGTCTTCCTTTTGTCAGGTAATTAAGTGGCATGAAAGACACTCCATTGACGTTCAGATATGGTTAAAAATAGGGGTTAGACAAAAACAAGAACACAATTGTTTTCCACATAACTATCTGGGGGAAAATGAGGTGGAAGGGGAGAGTGGCTTGTAGATGACATGGAAGCTAATTATGTGAGAGGCAGACTGGACATGAGGAGTTCATGATGGGAGAGATATCAGAGAAATATGAAAGAGCAGGAGGCTGGAGGAATTAAAAGGAAAGTTTGAGAACTTGAGGAGGGAGGATCCCACTTGCACCCAGCTGATGATTTATTTGGGTTCATGTTGATGCCATTAGCTGTTTCTGCCCAGTGTCCAGCTCTGAAGCCAACTGTCTTAAGTCCAAAGCTCGGCTGTTTCAGTGTAGACTGGAGCCATGACAGGATTAGTCCTGTGGATGTTGGTATTTATTAGTGCTCCAATTTTTGCATCTGCCCACGGTGGTGGGCCTGTTGCAAGTGGGTATCAGAAATTTTTCCCTTGCAAGCAGTAATGTTGTTTCAGTAGGTGTGTAAGTTTAAGCTGCCTCTTTGCTTTTGCTGTGGGTACAGATGATTCAGCTGACCTCAGGCTGTCCCAGCTCTGTAAACAGGGCCTTAATCCAAATACTTAATCTGGTATTGTTGTAGAAATTACAAGGTACAGGGGACTATGGCAGGTGTTCTGTAGTCACTGCATTAAACTTAAGTGTCTGTTTCCTCTTGCAAGGAAAGGTTTGTATACAGAGGCAGTGTCTTATTTATTCAACAGATATTAGAGAAAAACAGGCAAACTTTAAAGCAACATCAGTCCATCGTCAGGACATAAAATATTAGCAGTGTTTAGCCTTCAGGTGGTCCTGTAAGAGACTTTCTGTGCCTACAGCCCTTGTGGTTATATTTACAAATCATTGTGGTTGTAACAGTTTTCTTCCAGGACATACGAGTTACCTGAAAACTGTGTTTCATATGAGTGAATTGCTCTTCTGCTAAACCACCTGAGAAAACTAAATGTGCTAAGAGCTAATTCCAGGCTGCTGTTCACCTTCCTTGAATGCCAGAAACCTGTTGTGCCAGCCTAGGGTTTGTTTCAGATAAAGTGTCCCTTGTACTAATGGCAGTTTCGAGGTAGCATAAAAGGCTTTGTGTGAGACTTTAACACTGGAGTTGTTGAGTGATTTTGCTGCAGCTTCTCACTGTGCCTCTCCAGGCTCAACTCCACCCCTGAAGAGCACGCTCTCGGCCAGCAGCCTTCTAGCCCTGACCCAGTCCCCGCTGCTGTCCCCACCGCCGGCTCGGAGGAGGTGTGTCCAAGGTAACAACTTGTCTCCCCCTGTTCCTTGGCTTCTTGGAGTCACCAGTGAACTCTGGCAAACTGTGGCTTTCATGTATTCTGTCTGTTTTTTTGTAGAAGAGGAGTCTGATGCTGTCCAAACTGCTGCCGACCAGGAGCTGTCTCCATTCCACTTTAGGGTTTCCAGGAAGCGTCCCCTTAGCAGGACTTATTCACGGAAAAAGCTTCTCAGCTGAAGTTTGGAGCCAAGACAGCATGGGAAACTTAGTGTTATCCCAGCTGGACAACACACTTTTTAACATGGACCTTGTATTTGGTGCTGGATGGGAGCTGCTTTCAGTTAGTAGGAGACTGGATGCAAGTACATGGCAGTGGAATTAAGGACCACTCTAAAAGTTTGTAGTGTTTTTAAACATCACTTGCAGCGTTTCTCCATCCACTCAAAACCTGGCTCAGTCTTTCTGGCACTTGTGATTGTGGTAGCTTGCAGTGAGCTCTGTAGTGAAGGTTCGATTCTCCTGGGTCAAGTGGGAGAATTGTCACTTTTCTACAGCTTTCTTGTAAAATAAACTGATGTGAATTTTCGTCTTGTCCCTTAATCCAAAAATCTGTTTTTAGCCTGAGGGATGGGGGCTGCAGGAAGGAGGGTGCTGGGGGTGAATGGGTACAAAAGCTGCATGCTCCTGCTGTGTCTTGTCCTCGTACTAACTGTATCCTTCAGTGCATCCAGTTTGCCACAGCTTAGTGAAAAATAGCAAGTGCATTAATGAATTACTCAAGTGCCAAGAGTACAGAGGAAGAGAAAGATAACTTGGCTGGGAACATCTTTGTAGATGCTAAATGGTTTGGTGCATCTGCTCCTGGCCACTGCTGGATAAGCAGGTGCTGATGGAGTGACTTCATTGTCCTTTTCTGCAAACTTGCAGTGAGCTAGAGAAGACTGGCTGGGGAAATGACCTTGAGAGGTAGAACTTGGATGGAATTACTGGAGATGACAGTTCCAAGACTACTCAGCTGATTAAATGGTGACTTGGTTGCCTGTGACACGTTTGCCCGTGCAGAGAGCAGGAGCTGTGATTCAGTGCCTGAGATGTTGCCTACAAGGGGCTAAAGTGGTGCATGATCTTGAGATGAATTTTTTCAGAGAATCAGAATTACAGAATATTCCGAGTTGGAAGGGATCCACAAGGATCCTTTTCCTTAAGATAGTGATGTGCATGGCAACGATTTCAGGGAATTCACCCCACTGTGTCTACTGAACACAAAGAAGTGGAGAGCTATGAAGGTAATGTGAGGTCATCCTAAAACCAGGCATGGCACTGCCAAGGTTTGTTAGGTGGCATTAAGGGGTTAGATGGGATTGAATGGAGCTTGTTTCCTGGGAGCACTGTGTGGGGGGGAATACTATCAGTTTCCCTCTGCAAAGAGGGAAAGAAATGTGTACTCACTAGTTAATTTGCTTCTGGGAGAGGTGCACCTGTTTCATGGAGGTGGACTGATACACAAGCATTGGAGATCCAAATCTACTACAAAAATTTACTTACTTCCAAGTAGCATGGATTCCTGTTTTCCCTATTGAAGATTTTTCTTTCAACGGCAGAAAACAAAGTCTCTGAACCTAATCTTGTGCAGCTCAGCCACACCCAGAGCCCTCAGTAATATCCCCCCCTCACTGCCACACTACTGCTAGCAAGGAGGAAGATCAGTAGGTGGTTCCTGCATCAGATGCTGGCTTTTTACTTGGTGTTTTACTCCTTGAGTGGTGGTGGTTGTGGTAGCTGTGTGCCTCGTGATTTCAGGCTGAAGCACTGGCTTGCTTTTCGGGGTCAGGTGGCCAAGTTGCCATTGTCCCTTGCCCTTCTTAAAGCAAATACCTGGGATTTCATTTCTTGCTCTGCCGGAATTAAACTTATGTCCCCCTTCCTGAGATGTCAGTGTTAAGTTGCAGAATTGTATTTAGTCACCCTTATATCCAGATGGGAAGTTCTCCCAGGAATATGAAAACACTGCTTAAAGAAGCTTAGAGGCAGCAACAGGAAAACAGAATCAGAGTTACTTTTATCCTGGATGTTTCAGACAATTTCGCTGCTGGTTGGAGATGCTTTTCCTGTGGCAACTCAGTGTTGGAAGCCACCTCTAGCAGGGAGCACTTAAACAAAGGAGATCTTTAAACCTTAAGGCAACATTGTGACAGCAGCTGAGTTCCCATGCAGTGAGATTTAAATAAAGCTTTTTTCTTGTGTACCTAGAGTAAGTGACCAGTGGACCCTCTGCCAAGTGACTGCTTCATAAAACCTACTCTGCTTTATTAGAAAAGTTACAGTAGAAATGTAAAAAACCCCAAGGTACTACAAAAAAAAAAGAAACCTATGTACAAATTCTGCAAGACGGCAGAGCATCCCCCTTCAAGGCTGCCAGGGCTGAGCAAGCCCTGCAGCAGAGGTTTCCAAATTGTAAACAAGTTTTTAGTGTTAAGAGGCCAGGGTGGAAGGGTGTCTCCTGCTTCACAGTGTTTCAGCTGCTGAGGGGAAAAAGCATCCTGTCAGTTCTGTCTGGAGTGGCAGCAGCATGGAGAATGCAGGCAGGTGCTCCCACACCTTACACACTTATGATGAAAGGTCACATCTTCTCCTCAGGCCTCTGAAATGTAATAGGTTGGAGCCAGGCTGGCTTGTGGGGCAGGAAGGCGCTCAAGCCATGTCAGCAATACCTGCTCCTCCCTGCCCTGTGCCAGGTGGGTGTTAAACCCGTGTCTAGAGGGGGTTTTTCCTCACGTCGATCATGGCTGGGTGGTGAGGCAGGGGGCTGATGTTGAGGCTGGCTCTGCGCAGTTCCCGGCGGGGCTTGGAAGCAGGAGCGAGGCTCCGGGGGGGTGGGTGCAGCTCATGGGGCTGCCCCGCCCTCAGCAAGTGCTCCACGTCCCTCTGCCGGAGGTCCCCGGGGCTGTCGTTGGGCAGGGAGGAACGTCTCCACGTGGAAGGCAGAGGGGCGTGCACCAGGTCCCTATTGTCCTCCCTGCCCCGATGGCTCTCTTCAGCGACAGCCAGAGGCACGGGCTGCTCCCCAGGGCTGGATTCCTCACAGGTCCCGAGTGCAGGGGCAGCTCTGTCCCCAGCCCCGTGAATGCTTCTCTCCATTCCTGCCGGGAAAAATTGAGGGTACAGCAAAGTATCAGGATCTCTACTTTTCTCATCAGAATTGCTGCCTGTAGAGCACTTGCTGAAGGGCCTGTACCCTCACTGCTACAAGCTTTTGTAGTAGGATGGGAATTGAAACTCTCTTTTAACTTGGTCCTAGCCTGGGTTTCCTCTCACCTTTGGTCTGTCCAGGATGGAGGTTCATGTTACTCAGTCTCTGGTTCAGCTCCTGGTTTGCCCACATGTAACGGCTCAGCTCCTTTTCCAGCAGCTGAATCCTTGCCTCATACTGCAGCTTGCTGCTGGCCAGCCCCTCGTCCATGTGCTCTACAAGAAAAAAACGGGCCACTTCAGCCTGCAAGCCCCCTGAGAGACAAAAGCAGTGGCACTGCTGCCCATGTGAGGGGCTGGGGGGGGTTACCACGGCTCTGCTGCAGCAGTAACTGCATGTTCTGCTCGTGCTCCTTCTGCTGCAGGGTGAGCTGCCGGTCCATCTCCAGGCGCTGGCGCTCCACGGCCGCCTCCAGCCAGTACACCAGCTGCTGCTGCTCCTCCAGCTGCATCTCCAGCTCCGAGAAGGCAATGTGCTGCCTGTGCTGATCCTCTCGCAGGGTCACCACCTGGCCAGGGCCCAAGAGCAAGGAACACCTCAGCTCCTTCAGCACCCAGGAAGATCTCCTGCCCCACCGAGCCCAGATCAAGTTAGTTTTTTGGTACAGCTTACAAAGGTTAGTGCTGGGATGTCAGAGCTGCCTCGTGGAGGGAAGAGCAAGGTGTGGCTGCACTGATGTGGCAGAGCCACTGCAGGGATCCATGCATCCTATGATTAGTTAAGCCCCTCTCCCAGCTGGGGGTCATGGTGCTGTGGCTTTGTGGCCTGACTTTAGAGGGCAAAACTACAGTAGGAGAAAGGGAGAAAGCTTGAAACTGAGGAAAACAAAGAGTTTGGTCAGATCATCATTTCTGTTAACAATTGCTCTCAAGCCACATTATATTAATTATGTGTTCTGGCTGGCTAATAATCTAATCACTAATAGCCAGTAAATGAAATACAGCTCCTAAAAGAACAGAGGGCAGTTGTCTCCCACCTTGTCAAAGTACTTGCAGAGCAGAGCTCGGGTCTCAGAGGAGGACAGGTAGCTGAGCTTGGCCATGAGGTTCATCTCACACTGGGACAGCAGGCTGGCCGAGGCCCGCAGGACTCGTTGCCTGCACGTGATGGATTCGTTCTTGTACTCGATGGCTGCATCCAGAGCCTCGATTGCCTCATCCAGCTGGAATAAGATCCGTTCCTCCTGCCAGGGCAGAGCTGCAGTTAATAAGGGAGCAAAGGGTTTGCTCTGTCTCTCCCTGCGCTAGCTGGGATATGCACAGTTTGAGGATGTGAGGGATTATGTGCTAACGACCCTGTGCTCTGGTCTTTACTCCTCTCCTGCTACCTCACACTCTTGCAAGCAGAGTGGCCCAGCCCAAGCAGAGGTACCTCTGGGGACAGCAAGGTGCCCTGACGCAGCTTGTTGTCAAGCTCCAGCCTCTGTTTGAGCAGTTGGTCCTTCTCCTGGCGCAGGCTGTTGATCTCCTGGCGGATCTGCTGTTGGTCATGGGCACTGCCGTGGCGCAGCTGCCCGTTCTTCTCAGTCAGTTCCTTCTCCAGGTGCTCCAGGCGGCTGGACACACGCACTATGTCATCTGTGAGGGCCTGCAGCACAAGGGGATCTGCTCTAAAGGAAAGTCAGGCCCTCAGCCCCTTTCTAACCCTAACCCTCTGTAGGTCAAGGGACCCTGCAGACATAAGCCAAGGGCTAACAAACCAACTAGCTCAGAGGCACAGCACAACCAGGCTGTTACACAGGGGCAGATTTCCACTCACTTCCCAACACCACTTTGTCCTGGCCTGCAGCCCTTTGCCACAACCAGGATAGCACCCAGGTCTTTCAGCCTCCACCTCTGCTGGAAATCAAGCAAGGGGTTGGAGTGTCACTCCTGTCACTCTTGTCCTACCTGGCTGGAGCGCAGTCGTTTGCTCTCCAAGCCATTCTTTTCCTGCAGCAGGGCTTCCTTTTTGGCCACGATAGCTTCCCGCTTCCTCAGCTCATCTTCCAGCTCATCCAGGGCTCGGCGCTGCTCCAGAACTTTATCCATCTCCATGTCCAGCCACTTCTTCTGTTCCTCAATTTTCTGATGGAGGGAGAGGTAAAGGGCATGTGTATGTGTGTGTGCAGATAGCAGCAGCAGTGCACAGAACTGCTAAAGTGCAGTGGAGTTGAGACCAGAATGAGTCTCGATTCCATCTCTGCTACTGACAGTACAGACTTTGCTGGTTTTATCCTTCCAGCTCCAAATTCTAAGTCCTCTGCTACTGGATACAAGTGAGACTATGGACTGTCCTCCTCAAGGGCAGGATGGGATGAGGTCCCTGTTTTCAGATCTCCCCTGGCAGCCTACAGT